TCGATTAATAACTGTCATAATATGACTGAAATACAGTCTTCTAATAACAGGTGTAAGTCAGAGGTCACTGACTCAAATTCTTGTAAACAATATCTGCCTTGTAATGTGTCCTCATCTATACCTTGTAATGTGTCCTCTTTAAATAAAACTCAGTTGCTGTTACCTTGCTTATTGTCTCAGCAGTATGATAAGTTGAATGAAATCACCAGTAATGCATCTTCTTTACATAATGCAACTCCATTTCATGATACTTTTTCAGTGAATAATACATCATGTGCCCTTCAAGTTAGTAATAGTTCAGAAAATCAACTATCACTTTGGCATAATAGACTAGGACACCCGCATGCTGAATCATTACATAAGATCCTATCTTCTATGCAAAAAAAATCTGCTGGACATATGTCACAGTTACCCTTTTGTGATGCTTGTAAATTAGGAAAACTTCATAGGAATACCTTTCCGATTTCTCACTCTAAAGCTACTCATCCCCTTGAAATAGTTCATAGTGATGTTTGGGGTCCATCTCCAGTTATTTCCTTAGAAGGATATAGATATTATGTCCATTTTATAGATGATTATAGTCGTTTCACTTGGTTATTTCCCTTAAGAACAAAAGCTGAAGTTTATTCTGTGTTTGTCAAGTTTCATCACTTGGTCGAAAGACAATTTAATTGCAAGCTAAAATGCTTGCAATCTGATCAAGGTGGGGAATATAAGGGTCTCATTTCTTATCTCACCACTGTAGGAATTCAATTTAGGCATTCGTGTGCATATGTTCATCAACAAAATGGTCGAAGTGAGAGAAAACATAGACATATTGCTGAAACTGGTCTTACCTTGTTAGCTCATGCATCCATGCCTTTGCATTATTGGTGGCTTGCATTTGAAACAGCAGTGTTCCTTATAAACAGAATGCCTACCTCTGTATTGAATTTTCTGTCACCATATGAAGTCTTGTTTGCATCAAAACCACTTTATTCTTCTCTTAAAACATTTGGATGTGCTTGCTTTCCTTATCTTAGAGATTTTAATAAACACAAATTGAGCTTTCATTCTTCCAAATGTGTGTTTGTTGGTTACAGTCTTATTCACAAAGGATATAAGTGTGTTAATTCTGAAGGAAAACTATTTATCACTCCAAATGTCCACTTTAATGAGACTGAATTCCCTTTTAAAAAGGGTTTTGAGTCACACTTTCCTGGTATGTCCTCTTCAAAACCATCCTTAGAACAAGGCAGCCATGTCAAGTCTGATAATCCAGTGACACATTTTCCTTTCACTATAATGCCTACTGCAACTGATCACAGCTCCAGCAGACGATCCTCATTGCCTCATAACTGTTCTGAAACTGATCCTTGCAATGAAAATTCCAACAAATCAACCATTCCAATCTATGATAATATCAATTCACAAACAGACAGGTCTCAACTCTTACCCATCTCTCAAACTATTCCACACACTTCAACATCTGCCTTTCCTGAATTACCCACAAATTGTTCCTTTGCAATTGATCTCACTGGTTATAAACCAGCAACTGTTTCCAATTTTCAGTCCACTACTCCAGAAACTTCATCCTCTTGTCCACTTGTAGTTGATTTAACATCATCACAGTTTCAAAAAAAACACATCAAACAGCCACCCTTCAACACAATACTATCAGAACCAGCATCCTCTTCCCAACATCAAACAGAACCATCTCATTCTCATCCCCATCAAACTGAACCAGCCACTTTTCACCAACATCAATCAGTATCAACCTGCCTTCCCAAGGTGTAACTAAATCAGAATCAGTCTTCCAACACTCATCCTATGCTCACTCATTCAAAAACTGCTGATCAAACAACCACAGCCTTTCTTTCTTCCAAATCCTCAACCTCACCGATACAACCAGAACCTAATTCCATACCTGAAGCATTGGCTAGTGTTGAGTGGAAAAGTGCTATGCAGGATGAGTTTGATGCTCTTTTAAGAAACAATACTTGGACTCTTGTTCCTAAAACCCCTGATATGAATGTAGTTGGAAATAAGTGGGTGTTTAGAACCAAATTTCATGCTGATGGGACTTTACAAAAATATAAAGCTAGGTTGGTAGCAAAAGGGTTTCAGCAAACTCCTGGGCTAGATTACTTTGAAACCTTTAGCCCTGTCATTAAACCATGTACTATTCGTATTATTTTTACGCTTGCTGTCTCCTATGGTTGGGACATACAGCAGATTGATGTAAACAACGCATTTTTGAATGGGACGTTAAGTGAAATGGTTTACATGCAACAACCTGCTGGGTTTGAGAGTTCTACCTGCCCTTTGCATGTTTGTAAGCTCAATAAAGCATTGTATGGCCTGAAACAAGCTCCAAGGGCCTGGTTTGACAGATTAAAGCAAGCATTACTGGAAAAAGGTTTTCACAATTCAGTTTCTGACTCCAGTCTGTTCATTCTTAAAGAACCAGGTCAAGTTCTCTATGTGCTCATCTATGTTGATGACATTTTGATAACTGGGTCCAGTAATTCCTCCATTAGCAAGTTGGTTCTTGATTTGAACGATCAGTTTGCACTAAAAACCTTGGGATCAGTTACATATTTCTTGGGGTTGGAAGCTACAAGAACAGCTGAAGGAATTCATTTAAGGCAGTCCAAATATGTCGCTGATTTGCTTGTTAAGACTAAGATGCAAGATGCTCATTCTTGTCCTACTCCCATGGCTGTTGGGACAAAACTTTTTGTTGGTGATAGTGAATTATTTAAGGAGCCCAGTCTTTATCGCAGCACCATTGGAGCGTTACAGTACTTGACATTAACCAGGCCTGATATTAGCTTTACAGTCAACAAACTAAGTCAATTCCTTCAAGCTCCAACTGAATTTCAGTGGCAAGCTTGTAAACGTGTGCTGAGATACATTAAGGGCACTTCTCTTCATGGGCTTCTTTTCAAACCAGCTGCCTCGTTATGTGTTGAATGTTATGCTGATGCAGATTGGGGTAGTAATTTGGATGATAGAAGATCCACAAGTGGATATTGTGTGTATCTTGGTCCTAATCTAGTGCAATGGAGTTCTCGTAAGCAAAAAGTGGTTGCTCTATCGTCTACTGAAGCTGAGTATAGAGCTTTAGCTCAAACAGCAACTGAATTAGCTTGGCTAAATAGTCTGTTTTCTAAATTAGATGTGAAGTTGAACTCTATTCCCATAATTTGGTGTGATAATATAAGTGCAGGAGCTTTGGCAGCCAATCCTATTTTCCATGCTAGAACAAAGCACATTAAGATAGATGCCCACTATATAAGGGATCAAGTATTAGCCAAAAAGGTTCTGGTGCAATATGTTCCCTCCAAGCTTCAAATTGCTGATGTTTTGACAAAGGCCCTGTCCATTTCACAATTTCAGGAATTAAAGCAAAAGCTTACAATGGTTTCAGTACATTTGGCCACTGAGTCATGAAGTATACTGCTGGTACTGGTTTTTCTGTTGACTGATGGTTTAAACTGCTATGTGGTTTTTTTTTTAAAACTGCTATGTGGTTGTTGAGATTGCGGTTGTTAAGATTGCTGTGTTGTGTGTGTTGAAAATGTACAGTGGTTGTTGAGATTGCGGTTGTTGAGATTGTTAATTAACTGTTGAAAGTGTGAAATGGTTGTTAAGATTGCTGTTGTGTGTATTGAAAGTGGGCAGTGGTTATTAAGGTTGCTGTGTGGTTATTAAGGTTGCTGTTGTGTGGGTTGAAAATGAGTTTCCAATGGTGTTTTTTTTTTGTTGAATATTGTTTTACTGGTGATGTTGAAGTGTGTATACTGGTGGTGATGGAGTTGTGTTGAAGTAGTCATACTGGTGGTGTTGATGTATTAAAGTAGTCATACTGGTGGTGTTGAAGTGTGTATTGAGGTAGTGCAGATTGTGAAGGAACAGATTGCAGATTGTAGATTGTAAAATACTGCAATTTGTCTAAAGAAGAAATTTACTGATTGGAGATTGTAAAATACTGCAATTTGTCTAAAGAAGAAATTTGGTGCATTTGAAAGCCTGCAATTTGTCTAAAGAAGAAATTTGGTGCATTTGAAAGCCTTATGCTGAAAACTTTGCTGAAACTTTTGTTGAGTTCAGATTACAGTAGTGCTGAAATTTTTGTTGAGTTCAGATGAGAGGTTTGTAGATTGCAGATTGTAAAATACTGAAATTTATCTAAAGAAGAAATTTGGTGCATTTGAAAGCCTTATGCTGAAAACCTTGCTGAAACTTTTGTTGCAGTTCAGATCAGAGGTTTGTAGAATCAGCATGAAGTACTGAGCAGGTTCTAAGCAAGAACCAAATGAAGAGCAGCGTAAGTACAGAAACAGAATGCAGAACAGAGCAAGTTTACTGAAACAAGACCAGTGGTTTGGTCTGCGAGGGGATGTTAGTGATTAGTAAAAAGTAGAGGACCTGCTTGTAATTTCTGTTTCTATTATCTTGTACGGTGTCGTTTTGATCTTGGTGTTTTACTTTGTTTGTAACGAAAGATAAGTGTAAAAACTTAGTATCTTCTTCTTCTTCTAGTTAGCTCGTCTCTGCTTCCATCTTGAGTATAAAAAGCTGAGCAAACTGTAACTAATTCAGTTAATGAAAAGTCAATAATTCTTCCACTTCTTTCATTTCTATTATCTTGAGTTTGATATAGATAAGTATCAATAAACACAAGATATTATCGTTACAAGTGTGATCCTGAGTGTTAAATTGCAAAAACATTGCTGATATGAACCAACTTGAATTGCCTTCTTGGAGGTGCCTTTTGCTATGAGATTTGGATCTGGGGAATATATTAGGGACATAAAGAAATATTAAGTACATTCATTTGTTTATTTATATTTTGAACTGTCAAAAAATATTTTATCTTCACTTTGAATTTACTTTATTTTTTACGTGAGCTTCATGCTCAATAAGAGATAATTTTGTTGTAGATGAATTAAGCCCGGTTCGTCAGATGTCTATAGACGTATCATGCTTGGAAGAATTTAGACTTGAGGTGATGTATGCACCAAGAGTATAGGACTGACTTAACTGTAAGTTAATGTGCAACCCTACGCATTAGATGCTTTAGGTAGAATAATTTAGCATAACATTTTTTCTTTTTTCTGTCTTTCTTTTAATCATGTTAAATCAGAATATTTATTCATTTCAAACAAAGAAAAAACCAACTAAATCAGTAGAAGGAACTTGGTTCTATAACTGATTTTATCTGACCAAAGTCTATTTTCTAAGGGATGAAGAGACAAAGCTCAAAGAGTTGAACATGCAGTCATATATATAATACCTTTTCACTGAACAGGTTTACAATCTATTAGAGTTTTCCCTCATACATCATGAAGTTAACAAATGGTTGTAGTGAAAAAAAAAAAAAATCTTCAGAAATTAAGTTTTAATTGCCATCTTGTAGACTTAAAATTGTAATGCTTTGTTTTTGTAATGAGGTTCCTTATTTTGATTTTTTTCTTTGTTTGTGGGAGTCGTCTTTTGGAGGAGTAATTATGTAAAACAAAAGCAACAAGGTTTAGTTTAACATGTATCTATCAAATGCTTTAGTTTATAGCTGTTTCAGTTATCCTTGAGAATGATATCTATGATCAAATTGATTATATGTGTTATTCCAGGATGAAGAAGTTCAGAGCCTTAGAAATCTGATTAATTCAGCTGTTTTAGATCCAAAAGTGAAGGGTGGTTTGAGATGGCCCCTAGGGAAGTCAATTTCAGGGGATCGGTACTGTGTTAGTGGGGTTTGGCACACAGAGATTAGGTTGTATGAAAACTCATCACTGAGGCTCAAGTTAAAACATGCTGATCGATTTAGTTTTGAGTCTTCTACTGGGGAGTCTGCAATTGTAATTACTCTGATGTTGAAGCGATTAGCTTTGGACGTACTGGTAATTGTTATTTATTGCATTCGACTTTTTCACTTGACTTTCTCTTTTCATGTGGGACTTAATAAATGTTGAAATTTGTTATGCCCGGGAAAATTGGGCTGACGTGGCATCCAGTTAAGTGCGAAAGGTCAGACTTCAGGAAGAGTTCACTGACATTCTGGCGCAGCCACGTCGTGTGATCATGGGTACACCCACAGCCTGCTTCCGTCAGAATAGTGGGTGCACGTCATGCCAGCCAGAAGCTGTGATGATCCCGCGTGTCCAATCTCTACTCCAAATCATGTGAATTACTCTAGAAGATGGGTAATGTGACGTAAAGCAGGATTTACATGGATCATCCCACCAACTCACATATTCAGTGATCATTACCTCAAGGCATCCCACTATAAGTTGAGAGCTCCTCTCTCATTAAAGGGATTGGCACATTTTTACTCTTAACCAGTCTCTCTCTCTCTCTAGAATAGACATCAATAGATACCTTGTATTACCGTTGTAAAGTCAGTCAGCTAAAAGCGACCTAACCCTTATCATCAATATAAGCATCAGTGGATGTAGGACTTGCTACCTTAGTATCCGAACCACTTTAAAAACTATCCCCATTGCATTCACTATCATTTTCCTTTACATTCACGTATGTCCTTTGGGCCAACTCAACATTTCACACGTGCGTTTCGTTGGTGTAAAAATCACGCATCAACAGTTTGACGCTAGAAGGAGGGCCTAATTTAGTGTTCATCCTTCATCAAGAGAATCTCCAACTTACCGATCTTACAACAACAAATGGCCCGCCAACCAGAACCTGAGCAAACCAACCAGGGCGCTGAGGGGCTCCTCCAAGTTCAGGGGGACACTTCTTCCAAAAAACCTTCAGCCCCACAAAATACTACAGGAGATATCCCGTCAAGTTCACAGCTTGACCCCGCTATTAGAAGCTACTTGGAGAGGTTTGACAACCCTTTCCAGACGGCCAACCGAAGGTTAGACTGTTTGGACTAAGGCGTGCCATCCAAGTCAGCTACGGTGGTGCAACCGCAAAAAACGCCTGCAGGTCGCGCGAAAGAGCGGCAAAGGGAAATAGCCCGTGCCGCGAGCACTACAGCGCACAGAAGAAAGGGTAAGCAAGTGGCAAAGAACAAGCCCACGGGCTCCAAAGGGCTAGCGAACACCAATCGCGCCCCAAGCAGAATACCAGTCTCGTTGAGACTCGGTGAAAAGACGCAGCCCGAGCTGTCCCATGCCATGTCGCAAGTACACACCCATAAAAGCGCTGGACGAGGCGATTCTTATCATCGCCAGAAAAACAATTCTGATCGTCACTGTGCGAAAGGGTCCCATACTTCGCGGGGCGGTTCTTACCACCGCGAAGGTCGTGAAAATACCCTACGTCCTTCATCGCCATCACACGCCTCTAGCCAGCGTGTGTCGAGAGTTGCTAGAACTGCCGGTCGAGGCGAAGAGGAACCCGACTTCTGGACTTTCCTCAATCGTAATCGCGAGGGTCAAACTCGCATAGGTGAGAGCAATCCCCAAACGGCTCCATTGCCGCAAATCGAGGAGCTGCAGCAAGCTCTAGACAGACTAAGAGCTCAGCAAAACAAGCAAGGGCAGGTCGCATCTGCGTCCCCCTTCTCTCCCGAAGTGTTAGCCGCTCTACTCCCACTGGGATTTAGGATGACTGACATGCGGGCGTTTGATGGAAATTTCGATCCGCAGGATCATTTATATGAATTTAACAACCTGATGGAGCTTCACCAGGTCTCAGATTTAGCGAAATGCCGTTGTTTGGCAGTGACTCTGACCTCCCATGCCAAATGGTGGTTTAGGTCGCTCCCGGCGGGATCAATCAGTTCGTGGCCTCAGATGAGCGCGACGTTCCTAAGGAATTTTCAAGCAAATCGAAAGTTCTCGATGCCTTTGAGCTACCTCAGCAATATAAGGCAAAAAAGGGATGAATCCCTCCAGTCCTACATTGACTGTTTCCACAGAGAACTCAACAAGGTGGCTCATACTCCCGAAGAGTCTGTTCGGACTCTCATCATAGCCGGAGTTCGTCCACAAACCGACCTGTGGAAAGAATTACAGGCTGAGGACGATGTATCCCTCACAGGATTCTATAACCTTGCGGAGAAATACCTCCGAATAGAAAAATCATTGGCGGCACTTCTCCGTTGCGACCCTGGCACTTCGGGCAGTACATCTGGTCGGGGCGAAAGTAGAAGAGCTGATCTCAAGGGGGACGCTGACTATCAGCGAAGAGGGAAGAAACCTCGTTATGAGCCCAAAAAGTCGTATGCTCCCATACCTCGTTGCGATCACGATAGAAACCAATATACTCCACTGAATGCGTCTGTATCGGCCATTCTAGATAAATCCGAGGAAGCCAGTCTGCTCGGAGAGCCCAAGCCCATGAAAACTCTCGCGACAGCGAGAAATAATGAAAAATATTGTCGCTATCATTGGGACAATGGGCACCATACCGATGAATGCCGAGCTCTCAAGTAGGCGATCGAAAACCTCATTAAGTAGGGACATTTCAAGGAGTATATTGATGACTCTACTCCCTTACAAGAGAAAAATCAGGGGGAGCCAAGTAAGAAGCACCGCGATCAGAAAGGAGTGTGCACCCTCAATTTAATTTTCGGGGGACCGTACTTCGCTGGGAACACGCTAAATGCCCAAGAAAGGCATGCTCGCGAGGCGCATCATGAGCCCATCAGAACGATGAGCGTGGCACAGCGACCACAGAAGGGTCGTCGGGAGGAGGAAATTTCCTTCTCCGAAAAAGATGCGGGCCCGACTGCATCATCCTCACAATGATGCCCTTGTGATCATGCCCCTCGTAGGGCGCCATAATATCCAAAGAATGTTAGTGGATAACAGAAGTGTTGTGAACATCCTGTTCGGTTCGACTTTCAAAGAATGAATTTGGACGAGGCCGACCTGAAGCCTGCCTCGTTCCCTCTATATGGCTTCACAGGGGACCACCTGCTCCCCAAGGGAACAATCTCACTCCCAGTCACGTTAGGTGACTTCGACGAGGTGACCAGGGTAATTGAGTTCTTGGTCGTGGATTGCCCATCTGCCTTCAATGGAATCTTAGGGCGACCTCTACTAAGAAACTTCAAGGAAGTTACCTCCATATACCATCCTAAGATGAAGTTCCCCACCCCGACGGGGATATGGGAAGTAAGCAGATCATAGAGCGCATCTCGTGAGTGCTACATAAAAGTGGTGCAGATGGCGTGTAAAGGGAAATGCGTCTCACATGGTATTCCCCGACAGGCTATAGCGATCAGCCGGATTGAGCCACAACCTGGTCCAACGGAGGATAATATGGACCCTCAAATTCTGGAAAGCCCTTCCAGTGGGCCAGTTGGGGATTTGTCCGAAGTATCGACCGATCCAAAGAAGCCGAGCCGAGTGTTAAGGATTGGGAGCAATCTTAGTCCCCAGCTCGCCTCCGAGCTTATCAGCTTCCTAAAAGAAAATATCGATGTGTTAGCCTGGTCGCATGCATATATGGTCAGGATCAGTCCGGATATCATTTGCCATGCGTTAAACATCGAGAGCAAAGCCAAACCAGTTCGCCAGAAAAGAAGAGCAATGGATCCGAAGCGATATGCCACCTTAAAGTTAGAGGTGGACAACCTCTTCCGAAACGGGTCCATCCAGGAGGCACTCTATCCGACCTGGGTTGCCAACCCGGTTCTGGTAAAGAAGCCCAATGGCAAGTGGCGGACCTGTGTCGACTTCAACGACCTCAACAAAGCCTGTCCTAAAGACAACTTCCCTCTGCCAAGAATCGACCAGCTCGTGGATGCCACCTCGGGGCACGAACTGCTAAGTTTTATGGACGCGTACTCGGGATATAATCAAATTCTGATGTACGGGCCAGACGAAGAGCATACATCTTTCATTACAGATCGGGGACTGTACTGCTATAAAGTTATGCCCTTCGGCCTAAAGAATGCTAGCGCGACCTACCAGCGATTGGTTAATTGGATGTTCTTCGACCAGATCGGTAAGACAATGGAGGTCTATGTGGATGACATGCTGGTCAAATCCCATGTCGCTTCAGATCACATAGCGAATCTCGCTAAGATGTTTGATATCCTCCGACTGTACAGAATGAAACTGAATCCTCTCAAGTGTTCATTCGGAGTATCGTCAGGTAAATTCCTAGGATACATGGTTAACCAACGGGGAATAGAAATTAACCCCGAGAAAATTCAAGCTCTGCTTGATATGGAAAGCTCGACCAGCAAAAAACAGGTCATGAGTCTTAATGGGCGAATAGCGGCATTAAGTCACTTCATATCAAGGCTAGCAGATCGCTGCTTGCCATTCTTCAATGTTCTGAAGGCCAATAAGAAGTTTGAGTGGATCCCGAGTGCGAACAGGCATTCCAAAGTATAAAAGAACACCTCGAGAAACCACCTCTCCTATCCAAGTCTCTTCCGCAAGAGATCCTACTCCTGTATTTGTCCGTCTCTTAGTTCGCGGTCAGTGCAGCCCTAATTCGGGAAGAGGAAAAGATCCAATGGCCAGTGTATTATGCGAGCAAGCATCTGACGGATGCCGAGATGCGATATCCGAAAATGGAGCGATTAGCCTATGCCCTGCTGATCGCTTCCCGAAAGCTGTGACCTTACTTCCATGCCCATATAGTTCACGTATTGACTAATTACTCGCTCAGGCAGGTCCTCCAAAAACAAGAGGCATCGGGTAAATTGCTCAAATGGGCCATGGAACTCAACCAGTTCGATCTCCATTAGAAACCAAGAGCAACTATTAAAGGGCAAGCTGTTGCCGACTTCATATCAGAGTTCTCGCATCATCCAGCGAACGAGTCGGAACAGCCTAGCAAAGTCATCCAGAAAACTGTTCAAAATCTCTCGACTTGGACCCTCTATGTCGATGGATCATCGAACATAAAGAAGGCCGGAGCAGGTCTTCTCTTGTTGAGTCCTAGAGGGGCCCGCACTCATGGCATTCTCCGG